TGCTTTATCGTGGTTTAAAGGGCCAAGTTGGCTGGCGGACAAAATTAACTGGCCGGTACAAAAGGCACATATTGCTCCTGTCGAAATTACGGTGAGCACCGCTCCAGTCAGTAGTCCCTCCTTAGCCATTGACATTAATAGGTATTCTTCCTTACCCAAGCTGATTAGCGTGACAAGGTTAGTGTTTAAATTTATAAGATGAATATCTCATATAATTTTCCCCATCCCCTGAAATACTGGCTACAGAGGGTACAAGAAGAAACCTACAGGGATGAAATTAAATTAATGATGGACGGAAAAATTGTGAAAAGTTCAATAATAGAAAAGCTGGGGCTGTATTTAGAGGATGATGTAATTAGGTGCAGAGGCAGGTTACAAAATGCTGAATTGGGGGAATATGCTAAGCACCCTATCTTGCTGCCCAAAACTCATCACCTGACAACCTTGATTGTCTTTAATGCCCATAATAACGTGATGCACGGTGGAGTACAGGATACCTTAAACTGTATTCGGGAAACCTTCTGGATTCCACAAGGACGGCAAAGTGTAAAAAGGGTTATCAAGTCGTGTGTAATATGTCGCCAGGTGGAAGCCAGAACCTACATGTACCCAGGTCCTCCACCATTGCCCAAGGAAGCGTGCAGTTGGTTAAAACCATTTGATGTGACGGAGTGGACTATAGTGGGCAAATCATTTTAACAGGTACTTCAGATGGTGTTCCCTTGAAGGTGTATGTATGTCTATTTACTTGTACAGCTACTAGGGCTGTTCATCTAGAAGTGGCTCAGGACTTGTCTGCAGAACAGTTCATACAGCTGTTCCGGAAATTTGCAGCTAGGAGATCCTGTCCAAGATTGATGATCTCAGATAATGCAACCAATTTTGTAGCTGGTGCTCAACACTTGATGGAATTAAATAAGAGTGATGATGTACAGTCTTTGTTGACCCAGCGAGGGTGTGTCTGGAAATTTATTACTCCCAGAGCCCTTGGCAGGGAGGACTGTACGAAAGAATGATAGGTACAGTGAAAAGATGTCTTCGTAAGGTGCTACACAGGAAGAGAATTAATTTGGAGGAATTCCGTGCAGTGTTGGTGGAGGCAGAGAATCGGGTAAACAATCACCCTCTGTCATACATGAGCGACACTCCTGATGCGGAGATCCTGACTCCCTCTCACCTAATATGCGGACGAAGGTTAGAAGCTGCACCTATCTATAGAGATAATCCCGAGGGAAGTGATGAGGATTACAATAACGTGACCGTGTTGAGTGATAAGTTCAAGATGTTAAATAAGGTAATTACTCATTGGTCCGATGTGTGGCATAAAGAATATCTTCTTACACTACATGAACACTTTTATGGTGCGCCAGAGGCAGTAAACCGACAGAACATTCAACCAGGTGACATTGTGTTAATTGATACTGAACAACATCGAACATTGTGGCCTCTGGGCAAGGTAGTTACATTATACCCAGATGCACAAGGTGTTGTCAGAAATGTCAAAGTGTTGAGTCGTGGTCAGGAAAGTTTGCATACCATTAATAAATTAATTCCCTTAGAATTAAATGATGTTCAATCCAGTGCAGACGGAAATCTAAGGGAAAGTGAAACGAGTGATATTGAAGACACTGACCGAGTAATGCAAGAAGAAATTGTAGTAAGACCCACTAGGAAAACAGCAGCGCAATCTAGAGAGGGCTGGAATCGTCTCCTGGAGGAAGACGCAATTTAAGTCGTCTAACAATGACTTCCGTCCGGCCGCAGTGTGGAAATTATTTAATTTCCGAAGCTATAGTGCCTAATAAGTGTTTAATGTGTTGATTTGGGTCAAAATGTATTTGTATTTTGAATGGAACCAACTGGGTTCCCGCTGCACCTGCGCAGATGTGCGGGGGTATAGGTCGAACTGGGGCACGGGGGGGGCGGCAGTGTTTTGAATGTAGTGAGGAGGCTGTGAAAACCTGGGATCAGGAAATTGGCGTTCACGGCGGCCTAAGGATTAATATGGGCCTCACTTCATAATAGGAAGTGTCGTAACTGTTCCTGGTGAAGAGTGAGGGAACGTGATTTACGGGACCACCGTAAAAAGGTGGTAAAATTAGTGAATAATGGTTCGAGCGGGTGTGACTGGTGCGCGGCCATGGTGTGTGTCCAGGGGAAATACCCGTGTGTTAATCCTCACTCATCAGCCTCAGATCTTAATGGAGTGACCTCTAATGTGTATAATGATTATGAGACGTTAAATTGTCCTGTGAATGGTAATGTAATCAGTGATAATAACATTAAGTTAAGAGAATGCGGGATGTGAAACAGATCACCCTGCTCCGAGTGAACGCGTGATTCTCGTACCGAGGATAGTGAAACTTTATGGAATCACGACTTCTAAACCGGGACAAACCGACGGATACCTCGTCCTGCTGGAATAAGAATCGTGTCGGTGTAGCAGGACATCGAAATGAGATAGTGAATGGAGGGAATAAGGAGTATCAATCACCCACAGTTAAGTAACCCTTCTAGTTATAGCAGACTGATACTGGCCAGTTAGGTATGTTGTAATCGGATAGGTTATGGGTGATCCAGCTACATCAAGTGACCACCAGAGAATATCTGGTAAGTGGTGAGATTATGTACAAGTGTTTTCCTTGATGGATATATCCATGTGTAACCTACCCCACCCCCCTTCATTCAGTTAAACTAATATAATCTATACAGTCCACAATTAATTAGTAGCACCGTACTTGTGGGTGCTATCCAATCCATACTGGTCTCGGATAGATATGGATAAGATTGTGAGGTCGAAGGAACCACTTGCCGTGACCAGGGGTGGTTAAGTTTTCTCACATGTCTACACGGGGTGACTACGGTAAACAATATGGTTGTCTCCCAATGAGTTTACTTGTAAGCATGTAATGTTGAGGTACATAAAGGTAATCACCCTATAAAATTTTCCATAACCTATGTCTATGTTGGTGTGTATGAGTGTGCTTGTGTGTGTGTGTTATTGTGTGTGTTGGTTTTTTAACACAATGATTTATTATACAGTCTATATACTACTTACCCGTGTGTGCTTGCCATTTGTATATACAACATAGATAAGTTCTTTAATACTGTATAATGTGTTGTGTCTGAGTATAAAACCATTGTCAATACTTTGTTTGTGTGTAAGGTGTATTACCATTATATTGTACGGTATCGTTGGTCGTGTGAGATTATTGTAAAATTAACCGCTTTCTTTTGTGTGTTTTTAATATACATTTATCATTGTGAATCTCACTGTTTTAAAAAATTAAAAAAAAAATTAATATTGATAATGTGTTCAACCCCGAAACTCTCTCCAGGTAAACTCCAGGTAAACCACATGAGAGTGGCTATGATAACTTTTTTAAAATTTAATACTGATATTGTGTTTACCCACATGAGAGTGGCTATAATTTCAACTTGTCTAATGTTTGACATTGATAATGTGTTAAACAACGTGAGATTGGCAAGGTGTTAACTTTTAATGTTACATATTGTTATCGTGTTTAACCACGTGAGAGTGACTAGGGTTTCAACTTGTAGAGGGGAGGGAGGGGGGTTGTGGAGGTGTTGGATGTCAGTGTTAGTATCAGAGTATTATGAAGATCTTTGTGATTATGTAACACTGTGTTTCTGGGTAGATTGTAGGTTGTGTAAGGTTATCTTAAGGTAACTTTGTATGTTCACTCAGTGGACCGTTGAAGTACGAGTGTTGAATGTTCTGTCATAACATGTACCATTTCATGGTATCTTTATATTGCATCTTGTAATAGAGTTTTAAATAAAATAAAATAAAAAAAAATTCTCGTGAGTATTTTGTAGGTTGCTATCATGTTCTTCCTAGCTCTTCTGTCCTCCAGTGTCATTAGGTCCAATTTCGTTAACCTCTCCTTGCAGTTCATGCCCCTTAACTCAAGAACAAGCTTTGTTGCATACTTCTGCACTTTCTTCATTTTCTCAACATGCATTTTTTGGGGCGCGAGCTCCATACTGGTGCTGCATACTCTAACGTTTGGTATATAAAGATCCCGAAATGACTCTTTGACGAGATTCCTGAAGGCTTCCCTAAGATTTGACAAGCGAACATTGGCTACAGAGGTTAAGGTAAGATAAGATTTTGTTCGGATCTTTAACCCAGGAGGGTTAGTCACCCAGGATAACCCAAGAGAGGCAGTGCGTCATCGAGGGGACTGTCTGTCTCATTTCCACTGGGGTCCTCAATCTTGTCCCTCAGGATGCGACCCACACCAGTCAACTAACACCCAGGTACCTTTGCTAGGTGAACAGGACAATAGGTGTAAGGAAACGCGTCGAATGTTTCCAGCCTTGTCTGGAATCGATCGCGGATCCTCGGCGTGTGACGCGAGAGCTTCACCAGCCAGGCCATGGGGGCCTGACTGCGAGCCTCTGACGCTATATTGGGCACCATGCTCACCCCTAGGTCTTTCTCGTTTAGTGAAGTCTACAGCCTGTGTGTGTGTGTGTGTGTGTGTGTGTGTGTGTGTGTGTGTGTGTGTGTGTGTGTGTGTGTGTGTGTGTGTGTGTGTGTGTGTGTGTGTGTGTGTGTATGTGTGTGTACTCACCTATTTGTGGTTGCAGGGGTCGATTCAAAGCTCCTGGCCCCGCCTCTTCGCTGATTGCTACTAGGTCCTCTCTCTCCCTGCCCCATGAGCTCTATCATACCTCGCCTTAAAACTATGTATGGTTCCCGCCTACACTACGTCACTTTCTAGGCTATTCCACGGCCTGACTACTCTATGACTGAAGAAATACTTCCTAACATCCCTTTGATTCATCTGAGTCTTCAACTTCCAATTGTGACCTCTTGTGTCTGTGTGTGTGTGCGAGCGCGCGTTTATTTCCTACGATATTCAATATTTTAAGAGCTGTATATGACCCCCAACAATTTTAACGTGAGAAGGGTAGCTCAAGGATAGTAGGATAGCAGCAAGTGAATACTGACGAAGTGCATGGGGACTCACCTGATAGCGGTGACGGCGGCGCAGGCAGTGAAGACCGAGAGGGTGAGGAGGCCCAGCATAGTCCACCTGTAATAACACTCATGGTTAACTAGATTCGTTTCTGCGCGGCCTAAGAGAGATATCCCGTATCACATAACCCCAGCCACGTGTACTTCAACCCACGAAAGATGCCTAATAAATATACCTCGAAATCTCTGGAGGGGAAGTTAGTTTAATATGTTTATTATGCACCCCATACCCATCCTGTGGGCGGTAGTCAAAAGATTACAGAGGTACATAATGGGTCCAGGGACTGGGCCTCAAAGTTTTGATAGCTGAGCAAGTTACAGAGGTAATGAATTCACAATTTACAAAGGTAATGAACTCACAATTTACAAAGGTAATGAACTCCAGGTAGGTCTAGTCACAATCATGACAAGTTACAAAGGTATTTACAGATTACAGAGGTACACAATGGGTCCAGGGACCGGGCTCCAAAGTTTTGATGGCTGAACTAGGTACAAGGTAATGAACTCACAAGTTACAAAGGTAATGAACTCACAAGTTACAAAGGTAATGAATACTGTAAGGATGGTTACTTACGTTTATACATGGCTGCAATCATGAACAAATTTTAGAGTAATGAGCAATTCACACTTCCACACCCGGTCACAACTGTAGTGAGTTATTGGTGCAAATGTTGATTGCTGAGTCTCTCTCTCTCTCTCTCACACACACACACACATACAAATTCATACACACACACACATAAACACACACACACACACACACACACACACACACACACACACACACACACACACACACACACACACACACACACAAACTCATACACACACACGCACACACACTCATACACACACACACACACTCATACACACACACACACTCATACACACACACACACTCATACTCACACACACACACACACACACACACACACACACACACACACACACACACACACACACACACACACACACTCACACACACTCATACACATACACACAAACACACACACACACACACACCTGCCAAAGATACTTGTAACCCAGCCGGAGCCGGGCGGTAGTGACATCCAAGAGTCTGCTTATTTTGTTGGATGCACCATAGACATGTGGCTCCTCCTGCATGATAGAATGATGATAGATGGACTCACTGGTGTCAATCTCCCTGAGCCTTAAGTCCATAAAATTCAGCTGAAGTTCTTTTCGTATTATTGTTCTCAAACTTACTACCTGACAAGCCAAGATTGTAATCTACTCCCTCTTTGAAAGCATACAGCTTAGCCAATTTATCAGTTCTATCATGCATCTGAAGACCAATGTGAGATGGAATCCACAGCATGTGCACGCTGACTCCACTGTCCACAATCCTACCATACCTGTGTCTGGCTTCTGACACAAGCATGCCACAATTTATGCTTAATGAGTTGAGAGCATTTATGGATGACAGAGAATCAGTTACAATTAAACTGTCAATCTTTGATACATAGATGCATTTCAGTGCAAGGAGTATGGCAAACAGTTCTGTCTGAAGGGTAGAGGCCCAATTATTGATGCGTGCTCCAATTTCTTTAAGAGAGCCATCACTCTGTACGACAACAGCAGCACTACCAGCTGCACCAGTGGATTGGTGAACAGAACCATCAACGTAAATAATTTGCGAGAGTGTGTGCTGTGTGACTAAGTTATCAATACAGCTTAAGGCCTCATGTTTGGCTTCAAGGCGAAGTTTTGGTTGTGATTTAAGAAGTAGTTTGGGGGGAAATGGAGGAATGGTATCTAGAGGGGAAGAAACTGCAATTCAACTTTTTCAAGAGATCTGGGAGCTATGATTCAGTCCTTACAAAGTATGCAAAAGCTGGAGATCAATACCTTCAAAAGGCCCATAAGTTGTAGTTCAACACTCTCAATAAGCCTAGCGTCTGTAGCTTAATACCCTCACTATGCCAAGGATACATAAATCAATACCATCAGAAAGTGTAGAACCTGTAGATCAACACCCTGAGGCACGGGAGCTGTAGATTAACAACACCCTCAAAATTCCCAGGATCTAGAACTCAACCCATTGAGAATTGAGCCAACAACAACAAACCAGGTTTGCGACATCAGTCGAGTTTTTCGCTAAATTAGATAGCGATATTCAATGGTCTGCAGGGAGAACAACGAAGGTGGGGAATAAATCCGAAGTGAAGGTTTCATGTTGTAGGTCTCTCTCTCATATCACTGAAACCAACAAACTTAATCTTTATGAAACTCGCGATGGTTGTTCTATGCAAGAAAATGTGTTTGGGCAATTTTCCTGAACAGGAGAGCCACGGCTCCCAGGTGCATCACATGATAACCCTGGGTGAGCCGCAGACAGCTTACGTAAAAATCCTCATTACATGCTTCTCTTCTTACACCAATAGATCCTGTAGTCACTGGGTAGCTCTGACTGGAGATGGTTGTATTGAACATCATTCTGTCAGCCAGTAATTATCAGTCAATACTGTTTTAAATTAGGCATAACTGGTCTAATATTATGTAATGGCTCTTGTCTGCAATTAAGAAAAGTATGAATAGAAGAAATAATTAAAACTAATGGTATTTTTTTTTAATTAGGGAAAGCGCTAAAGCCGTAGCTGTCATATTAGTACCTGGGGAATGGGGTGCAATCCCAAAGCAAGGGAGGATAAATTAAGCTCATTGCATCAAAAGCTTTTCACCGGTACCAAGGCAATATCTTAATTATGCTGGAGATTTAGAATGTCCTAAGTTTGCAAAATACAAATGTTTAGTTCTACAGTTTTCTCTTCCATGTTAGAAAGATTCAGTTGGTTGTTTTATTTTGGGAGTCCAGCAGACACAGTGGCACTCACAATCCTAATGACATCATTTTATGAACAAATAGAATGGTGGACAAGGAGCTCGAACCGCAGTCCGTAAATTTACAGTCCGACCTCGGCTCGAGCCCCTCGTCCACCCTTTTGCTTATTCATTGGCAGTTGTTTATTACAACTTAATTTGAGTTCACATCAGTTTATATTACCTTCATTTACGTTAGCAAAGCGCCGGAAAAGTCCATTAGGTGCAGAGTTAATGGTTGATCACTGTAACATGAACATATTTGACAACTTCCAGCCAGTGCTTCCAGAGGTTTGAGTCTGGAACAGTTATAGGAAAGAGAACAGTAACAATGCAGCAGGTTCTAACTGGTTTATGTTACAGTATAACCCACAGATCAAAGGTAAGATCATAAGGCACACAACCAACATATCCAAGGTTCCATACTCATGCAACCTAAAAATAAAAAATTGAAAATAATCAATATTTTTTTGAAAAGCCGATAAAGAATAAAACGGCACAATACCGTGACTGAAACAATACACGAATAACCCGCACAAAGAAGAATGAAACTCATGACGACGTTTCGGTATTACGGGCAAGTACAGTCTACTGTTTTGTGGCCAGTTAAAGGCCTCAGTCGCATAACCAAAAGCTCCAATAGTGGGACATTATATGGGTAAGATCCATGTCTGGAACATGTTTTGTTTCCTGACGAATCTTATCTACCTAAGCTAATGTAAAAGAAAGCTTCAGATTACTGAAAGTATTAAGGCTTCAGCTTACCACAGTGCAGCCTATTTCATCACGATAAAAAAAATGCTAGGAAATCCTACTTATAGTCACTCCCTCTTATGCATAGATCTACCCTTTTTTTTAATGCCTCATAAAATAAAATTTTTACAAGGAAACACTCACAAAAGAAGAGAGCGACGTACTTCCCACTGTGACTTGTGTCTTACTGAAGGAGCAAGCAGAGGCCTCCAGTTCTTATATAGTGTGCACCTGACGTCACCTATTGTTTATACCACGCTATGGAACATCAATATACCAGTGTATATTCACTGAAAGGTTGATCTCTCAGTGTATATACAAGTGTACATACATATAACCCGCACGTAGGAGATTGAAACTTATGCGACGTTCCGGTCCGACTTAGACTACGAACTATATGAACTAGACACACACCAGCGCGATGAGAAGGGAGCCAGTATGTATACGACAGGGGTTCATATATACTAGTATATATAAACCGTGACATATATATACATATATATATATATATATATATATATATAATATATATATATATATATATATATATATATATATATATATATATATATATATCAAGCGGTGTATCATATTGTATATTCACCGAGAGAAGTATATGCTCAGTATATATCCGCTGAAGGTATGTATCTGTGTATATAACCTGGGTGTTAGTGGACTGGTGTGGGTCGCATCCTGGGACGAAACCGACCTAATTTGCCCGAAATGCTCAGCATAACAAACGGCTTTCTATACAGTAGTGTGTCATTGATGTCAGCTAGGACTGTGTACCATGTACATGTACTTGTAGTAAATAAATATTTTTACTTAAAGAAGCACATATACAGGATGGTAGGGGTTATGTAAACTTGTTCATGTGCTAAACATTGTCAGATTCAATAGGTGTGGCTTTCTCAGTTTAATTACTCAGAACTATTATACATCCCATATCCTAGCGGACCATCATTTGTGATGTTTCCAGATGAACACTATTATTATCATGGGGGAGCACTAAACCTGGAGGGATTGTACAGCGCCTCTGCGAGGACTGGGGAGGGGGGGGGATGATGGAAGGCAGTCAGGTATAATTCAGGGAACTGGAGCACAGACCCAATTCCCAAGATCAAGAGCCCCACACCAGATGAACAAAACACCACCTTATACCTATCATTCTGTGAGGACTATAATAAGTAGATACTAGTCGCTTATTATCATATACAGTCAGCTCTTTTATGAAGCTCCTCTACATAATAGTGACTTTTTTTTAAAAATGCCATTGAACAAGTGTACATCCAAAATTGAATAGGACATGGAAAGGCCTTCATAGCACGTGATATTTAATTTCCGATGCGCTATTTCAATGACAGTATAGAAACTTTGTAAGAGAGCTGACTATGTTTTTAAAGGTGGGCGGCTGTCAGAAACAGAAGAGTGAGTGTAAGCAGCGGTGGTGTAAAAAAGGATGCCTGGAGTGCCTCTTTTGTGCATCTCTAACCCCCCCTCCCCACCATGTGTCAAGGCAACTTTCAACCTCGGCCACCCTACCACAGTATGGGGTAGCCTTCCTGGGCTGGCTCGTGGGCGGCAATGTGACGTAACTGGGCAGGTGTAGTATGTGGGTGGAAAATTATAATTGTTATATTCATGAACCAAAAAAGCTAAACCTGTATACATCATTCAATATTGTGGGCAAGAAAGGTTTTTAAGCAGTAGTAATTCAGGAGTGTAGGGTAATGCATATACGTACATACCTATACACATGCACATATATGCATTTGTACATGAATACATGCATAAATTATACACACACATACACACACACACACACACACACACACAAGGGCCAAGAGCTATGACTCAAACCCTGCAACCACAATTAAGTGAGTACATATATATATATATATATAAATATATATATATATATATATATATATATATATATATATATATATATATATATATATATATATATATATATATATACCTGGAGTTTACCTGGAGAGAGTTTCGGGGGTCAACGCCCCCGCGGCCCGGTCTGTGACCAGGCCTCCTGGTGGATCAGCGCCTGATCAACCAGGCTGTTGCTGCTGGCTGCACGCAAACCAACGTACGAGCCACAGCCCGGCTGATCAGGAACTGACTTTAGGTGCTTGTCCAGTGCCAGCTTGAAGACTGCCAGGGGTCTGTTGGTAATCCCCCTTATGTGTGCTGGGAGGCAGTTGAACAGTCTCGGGCCCCTGACACTTATTGTATGGTCTCTTAACGTGCTAGTGACACCCCTGCTTTTCATTGGGGGGATGGTGCATCGTCTGCCAAGTCTTTTGCTTTCGTAGTGAGTGATTTTCGTGTGCAAGTTCGGTACTAGTCCCTCTAGGATTTTCCAGGTGTATATAATCATGTATCTCTCCCTCCTGCGTTCCAGGGAATACAGGTTTAGAAACCTCAAGCGCTCCCAGTAATTGAGGTGTTTTATCTCCGTTATGCGCGCCGTGAAAGTTCTCTGTACATTTTCTAGGTCGGCAATTTCACCTGCCTTGAAAGGTGCTGTTAAGAGTGCAGCAATATTCCAGCCTAGATAGAACAAGTGACCTGAAGAGTGTCATCATGGGCTTGGCCTCCCTAGTTTTGAAGGTTCTCATTATCCATCCTGTCATTTTTCTAGCAGATGCGATTGATACAATGTTATGGTCCTTGAAGGTGAGATCCTCCGACATAATCACTCCCAGGTCTTTGACGTTGGTGTTTCGCTCTATTTTGTGGCCAGAATTTGTTTTGTACTCTGATGAAGATTTAATTTCCTCATGTTTACCATATCTGAGTAATTGAAATTTCTCATCGTTGAACTTCATATTGTTTTCTGCAGCCCACTGAAAGATTTGGTTGATGTCAGCCTGGAGCCTTGCAGTGTCTGCAATGGAAGACACTGTCATGCAGATTCGGGTGTCATCTGCAAAGGAAGACACGGTGCTGTGGCTGACATCCTTGTCTATGTCGGATATGAGGATGAGGAACAAGATGGGAGCTAGTACTGTGCCTTGTGGAACAGAGCTTTTCACCGTAGCTGCCTCGGACTTTACTCTGTTGACGACTACTCTCTGTGTTCTGTTAGTGAGGAAATTATAGATCCATCGACCGACTTTTCCTGTTATTCCTTTAGCGCGCATTTTGTGCGCTATTACGCCATGGTCACACTTGTCGAAGGCTTTTGCAAAGTCTGTATATATTACATCTGCATTCTTTTTGTCTTCTAGTGCATTTAGGACCTTGTCGTAGTGATCCAGTAGTTGAGACAGACAGGAGCGACCTGTTCTAAACCCATGTTGCCCTGGGTTGTGTAACTGATGGTTTCTAGATGGGTGGTGATCTTGCTTCTTAGGACCCTTTCAAAGATTTTTATGATATGGGATGTTAGTGCTATTGGTCTGTAGTTCTTTGCTGTTGCTTTACTGCCCCCTTTGTGGAGTGGGGCTATGTCTGTTGTTTTTAGTAACTGAGGGACGACCCCCGTGTCCATGCTCCCTCTCCATAGGATGGAAAAGGCTCGTGATAGGGGCTTCTTGCAGTTCTTGATGAACACAGAGTTCCATGAGTCTGGCCCTGGGGCAGAGTGCATGGCATGTCATTTATCGCCTGTTCGAAGTCATTTGGCGTCAGGATAACATCGGATAGGCTTGTGTTAATCAAATTTTGTGGCTCTCTCATAAAAAATTCATTTTGATCTTCGACTCTCAGTCTGGTTAGCGGCTTGCTAAAAACTGAGTCATATTGGGACTTGAGTAGCTCACTCATTTCCTTGTTGTCATCTGTGTAGGACCCATCTTGTTTAAGTAGGGGCCCAATACTGGACGTTGTTCTCGATTTTGATTTGGCATAGGAGAAGAAATACTTTGGGTTTCTTTCGATTTCATTTATGGCTTTTAGTTCTTCCCGCGATTCCTGACTCCTAAAGGATTCTTTTAGCTTAAGTTCGATGCTTGCTATTTCTCTGACCAGTGTCTCCCTGCGCATTTCAGATATATTGACCTCTTTTAGCCGCTCTGTTATTCTTTTCCGTCGCCTGTAAAGGGAGCGCCTGTCTCTTTCTATTTTACATCTACTCCTCCTTTTTCTTAGAGGAATAAGCCTTGTGCATACATCGAGTGCCACCGAGTTAATCTGTTCTAGGCATAAGTTTGGGTCTGTGTTGCTTAGTATATCTTCCCAGCTTATATCGGTTAGGACTTGGTTTACTTGGTCCCACTTTATGTTTTTGTTATTGAAGTTGAATTTGGTGAATGCTCCCTCGTGACTAGTCTCATTTTGTCGGTCTGGGGCTCCACGCATACATGTCTGAACCTCAATTATGTTGTGATCTGAGTATATTGTTTTTGATATGGTGACATTTCTTATCAGATCATCATTGTTAGTGAAGATGAGGTCTAGTGTATTCTCCAGTCTAGTAGGCTCTATTATTTGCTGGTTTAAATTGAATTTTGTGCAGAGATTTAAAAGCTCGTGTGAGTGTGAGTTTTCATCAGAGCTGCCTCCTGGTGTTATTACTGCAACGATATTATTTGCTATATTCCTCCATTTTAGGTGCCTTAAGTTGAAATCCCCCAGGAGAAAGATGTTGGGTGCAGGAGCTGGAAGATTCTCCAGACAGTGGTCAATTTTTAACAGCTGTTCCTGGAATTGCTGGGATGTTGCATCCGCAGGCTTGTAGACTACCACAATGACTAGGTTTTGGTTCTCGACCTTTACTGCTAAAACTTCCACTACGTCATTTGAGGCATTATATATATATATATATATATATATATATATATATATATATATATATATATATATATAATATATATATATATATAACACCGGCTGTCTCCCACCGAGGTAGTATTGGCATGCCAGAGGTGTGCCAATACTACAGTTCAGATCCCCCCTCCAAACTGCAAATATCCAAATACCTCCTTCAGAGTGCAGGCACTGTTCTTCCCACCTCCAGGACTCAAGTCTGGCTAATCAGTTAACTTGAATTCCTTCACAAAATGTTACCTTGCTCACACTCTAACAGCTCATCAAGTCCCAAAAACCATCTGCCTCCATTCCCATCTAACATGCTCACACTCTTGCTGGATATCCAAGCCCCCTTGCGCACAAAAGCTCCTTTAGTCCCTCACCTCCCTTTAACCTTTCCTAGTGACCCTTACCCCTCCTTCCCTCTATTACAGATTTATACACCCTCCAAGTCATCATATTAAGCTCCACTTCTCTAAATGTCCAAACTACATCAACAACCTCTCCTCATTCCCCTGGATAATACTTTTAGTAACCCCCATCTCCTCCTAATCTCTTAGCTACATTATTATTATTATAATCAAGGGGAAGCGCTAAACCCGGAGGATTATACAGCGCCTGGGGGGGGGGATGTGGAAGGCATTCAGGCTTAATTCGGGGAACTGGAGCACAGATCCAATTCCCTAAATCAAGAGCCCCTCACCAACATCAAGGAACCTTCCTTGAGGGGACATCTCTTAGCTACAAATTCTCTACATAATATTTACACCATACATTGCCTCCAGCCTCCTCCTTGCCTGTGACATTCACCACCCATGCTGCACCTCATATAAGAGTGTTGGTACCACTATACTCGTATACATTTCCCTTTTGCCTCCACGAATAATGTTTTGTCTCCACGGACACTTCAATGCATCACCCACCTAATTAACTGGCCTCTGATCCAGGGACAACAAATTATCGAATTGACATTATTATTATAATCAAAAAGAAGCGCTAAGCCACAAGGTTGAATGGATTAGCATCATTCAAATATATTTTATTCAGGTCTAGAATTTTCTGTTCTACACAAGCATTTTGTCCATGATATGACTTCCAGCATGACTGGAATTTTAAAACATATAATATGCAGTTCTTTCCTGGATGCAACTTACGGCAGTCTGCTAACACACAAGTATTTATTTTGGCATTTATGTGAATTGTTTCAGCTGAGAACTTAATTAAGTTTCACTGCTGAGCTGCTCAGTAATTAGGAAGTACAGGCACATACACAGATTTACCACAGAATTGCACCATAAATCCCATCCAGATTATGTATAAACCTTGAGGAAATCAGTTCTTCACAACTAAAGAAGATCACCCACCTATGGTAGAGACACTTGGTTCAGATAAAGCCTTTATTATAAATTGCAGTATGTTTAATTTTGGGTCATCTATAATAAAAGTTTGCCCTGCGCCAATTATCTTTCTACCATACCTGTTGGCAATACCTGCCACCCTATATGACCCACCTGAGAGAGGTAGCATTGGTCATGGTGGAGGTGCGACACACTGGGTGAAATGACAGAGCCAGGACAGTAACCTGCAGCAGGGGCCAGTGGCTGCTCGCAGAACACTGAGTGGAATGATAGCCGGGACAGTGACTGTGAAGTAGGGGTTGGTAGCTGCTAGTGGAGACTTGCTCGCACATCTCCCAGTGGGGTGGGCGGAGTAAGTAGCTTAATGCAGTATCTCCTTGAAAGATTAAGTTCCTCTAGTTGGGTCAATGACGTCATTCACCAACATCAGTTTATAATTTAATATTAAATGTGTTATGGATCATATGTAAGGGTGAACCCCCAATGAATATAAGCTAAACTACATGTCAGTTTTTAATTTGTGTTAAGCTTAACCTCCACAGGACTAATTCCCTAACAAGTTGAGCTTGGCAACAGGCAAATCTAAATTATGATATTCACAAGGGCCTATCCCAGGAGTTGCCATAATGTTAGTGAGGGGGCTCTTCATCCAAGAAACTGGACCTGTCCTCTTTTTCGTTGGATTGAACCTGATTGCTTTCAATTCCCCTCCCCTTCCTTTCAGGCAATGTGTGACCCCTGTCAGTTTAGTGATCCCCCTCACCCCTAACTGTGAATGTAATACATATATTCATGGTGAATCGCTAAACCCATCGAGTCGTACATTGCTTGGGGAATAGGATGTAATCATGCTTGAGCCAAAGGGATTACAGTATTAGTCATTAACCCTTTGGGGGTCGCTAGGCCTTCTCAGAGACTTGTTCTCAGGGTCGCCAAAATTTAAAAAAAAAAACTATTTTTTCTTATGAAAAGAGAGAATCTTTTCCCGATCATAATGACACCAAAAGTATGAAATTTGATAGAAAACTTACGGAATTATGCTCTCGCAGTTAGCGGTTTCGACGATGTTTACGCATCGGCGATTTTGCCCAATTTGAGCCCTATTTTCGGCCAATTCCAATGTACAAGTCGACAAAAAACATAACTATTTCGCTAGAACTCCGTTTTTTCTATCGAATGAGTACAAGAAACCACCCATTTACCGATCTCAACTATCCAATAAAGTGGTCAGAATAGAGCAATTTTGCCAATTTCACACAAATTTCAAAAGATGCCAATTTCCAAATTGGGTCCAGAATAAACAAGAAAGACATTCCTGGCACTAAAATAACATTTCCTCTGTTCATTAGTCACGTCTCCAGGCCCCTCTTACATTTCTTTTGCTTTCCACTTTGATTTTTTATTCTCACAAAAATAATAAGATTTACTGTTGTGCAGACTACTGCATTAGTGTAGAAATGGTATAAATAATATCAGTGCACTTGTGAAAGAATATTAGACTCACCAGTTGACGTGTATTGGACGCTTAGCATGATTTGTTTACTTTTGAACTTTGGTAAAACTCGAACATTTCTGCTACTTTGAGCTCAATTTCAAGGTACTTTTCATTGTAAAACCAGTCAAAATCATCTCAATTTCTGTAATATGTCTTCCATTCTATACAATGAGACCAGAAAAACTAGAATACAACAATAAATACCATACAAAAATACAGTGCAAAGTCGCTGTTTTAAACCAAAAACACGGTCAAAGTTTTTTTTTCTCATTACGCACTGTGTGCTGCAGGATTTTTTTTATACTGTGCACACTGACCACATAGACCCATTCTTTCATATGTAGGCCTACCAGCTTTCTCTTGCTAGATTTGAGAGCGCTAGAATTTATGCGTACTAGTATGTCAAAAACCCTGGCATGCAAGCCGTACTAGTACGGCCGAAACCCCCAAAAGGGTTAAAAACAAAAAAAACCTTAAGGAAATACAGCCCCGGGAAGGGAACCAATACATTTAATCAACAGAAACTTTGGGATAGTTCAATTTTTTGGGATAAAAACTCTTCCCAACATAAAAGGCACCCAAATAACAATAAAGTTTGTACATGTACTTTAATACAAACCCATTTTTTTATTATTTTTTAAAGATAATTTTGGGTAGTAGGTTTGGGTAGACAGCAACACCCCAGGGATGTACTACCTCCTCCCAAATAAGTGTAAAACGGAAGCCTGTAATTGTTTTATTTTGGGGTAGGTTTGCTGGTTCTTTCGTCTCTAAACTAAAGGGTTTTCAGATACACTTGCTATTCTATTTACATTAAAGTCACACCCACATGCATGTGTACATTCATATTATACACCCCCTCGTTTTTTCTTCTATTTCCTTATAGTTCTTGTTTATTTCTTATCTCCAGGGGAAAAGTGGAACAGATTCTTCTTCCATAAGCCAGCATGTGAAAGAGGCAAAAAAAAGGGAACAAGGGGCTAGTATTATTATTATAATCAAGGGGGGAAGCGCTAAACCCATAGGATTTAACGCGCCCGGGGGGGGGGGAGGGATGGGGAAAAGGCATTCATTTAATTGGGGGAAACTGAAACACAGACCCCAATTCTCTAAATCAAGACCCCCCTCACCACATCAAGGGAAACCCTTTCCCATGGGGGGTAAGGGGCTAGAAAACCCTTCTCCTGTATATATTATTAAAGTTAAAAAGAGAAACTTTTGTTTTTCCTTTTTGGCCACCCTGCTACGATGGGATATGGCCGGTTTGTTGAAAGAAAGAAAATTCATAGACAAGTGCTAACCCCATCAGAGTCACTCAGGTCCTAGAGAATGGGAAACAATTAGGATAGCTTCAGTTTCCTGGATAAAGAGCCAGTATCAGGGTACTCCCCTTGAAGAGAATCCACAAGCAGATAATGATAGTGAAGTCGGTGAGAAAGACAAGTACTGGGGAGAGGGATCATGAAGTAGTGAGGTAGTGGGTCAAGTGCAGCTTTACTTGTGTGGGCTGTGAAGGATGCTCATGATGCTGGCTCTGCTCACTACACCTTCAAACACTCCTTCCAACCGTTCTTTTTCTTCCCTGGTCTTTTACTCTCATTTGCTCTGTACCTACTATGTTTTCTGCTTATCCTTTGTTACTCTTACAAATAGGGTTATATAGCACTTGTGGAAGGAGGCAATCAAAGAATCCAAGTTGAGGGTTTTTCTCAGATTCCTTTGGGCGAGCCCTTTTCATCAGCAATGAAGGGGCCTCACTTAGAGGAAGAAAGGTAAATGAAGGGAATCTTCATCCCCGTAAAATTATTTTTATACGGGGGAAGCATTAACCCATAAGAGGAATCCAATGGTGGGGGAAAGGAGACAATAAGGTTTAAGTGAAAAAATAATCCCAAATTTTTTTGGGGAAGCATCAAGGAAACCCTTTTCCCGATAGGGTCCTCTATTACAGACCCATATATGGGGAACTTTTTGGGGAAGGGTGGGGTGGGGGAATATGACCCCAAGGGGTAATATGACCTCATAGAGGGCAAATTTCCCCATAGGTAATTGGGGTCATACGCATCTAGGGGGATAGGGGCAATCAAAATTTTCCTAAGGCAGGGGAGGATGGTCCCTTTCCTTGAAACAAGAGCCCTCATGACTCAAGCAACTTTCCCGGGTGCCTGAATTAGGCTGATGTCTTAACAATGCAGTTGAAGGTTCAAATAGTGTAAATAACAAGTAGTCTGTAAATAACAACAATGTATTAGCTAGGCAAGTAATATAGACCATACAAAAATTCATTTTTTTAAGGAAGCAATAATGGAATGTATTTTATCATAATATGCACTAAACATAAATTACTACTGTATTAAAACTATTTTGTTCTTCATTTTATAGTATGACTTATATACAACATCTTTGAAACATATTCTCAACATGCAGTACTATAACACCATAGACTACATTATTCTCATGATTCCTTCATTACACTCATCTATCTATCTATCTATATCTATCTCTATGTCTATCTCACTCTATATATCTCTATCTCTCTCTCTCTCTCACACACACACACACACACACGTCTTCGGAAGCACACATCAACAAGATAACTGCTGCAGCATATGGGCGCCTGGCAAACCTAAGAACAGCGTTCTGATACCTTAGTAAGGAATCGTTCAAGACACTGTACACCGTGTACGTCAGGCCCATACTGGAGTATGCAGCACCTGTTTGGAACCCACACTTGATCAAGCACATCAAGAAATTAGAGAAAGTGCAAAGGTTTGCGACAAGGTTAGTTCCAGAGCTAAGGGGAATGTCCTATGAAGAAAGGTTAAGGGAAATCGGCCTGACGACACTAGAGGAGAGGAGGGTCAGGGGAGACATGATAACGACATATAAAATATTGCACAGAATAGACAAGGTGGACAAAGACAGGATATTCCAGGGAGGAGACACATAAACAAGAGGTCACAATTGGAAGTTGAAGACTCAGATGAGTCAAAGAGATGTTAGGAAGTATTTCTTCAGTCATAGAGTTGTCAGGCAGTGGAATAGCCTAGAAAGTGACGTAGTGGAGGCGGGAACCATACATAATTTTAAGACGAGGTTTGATAAAGCTCATGGAGCAGGGAGAGAGAGGACCCAGTAGCAACCAGTGAAGAGGCGGGGCCAGGAGCTAAGACTCGATCCCTGCAACCACAAATAGGCGAGTACGTACCACACACACACACACAAACACACACACACAACACACACACAACACACACACACACACACTCACACACACACACACATCCACACACACACTCACACACACACTCACACACACACACACACACAACACACACACACACACACCACCACACAACACACACACACCACACACACACACACACACACTCACATCACACTCACACTCACACTCACACTCACACTCACACTCACACTCACACACACACTCACACTCACACTCACACACATTCAGGACCCTGTACACCGTGTATGTTAGGCCCATATTGGAGTATGCGGCACCAGTTTGGAACCCACACCTAGCCAAGCACGTGAAGAAACTAGAGAAAGTGCAAAGGTTTGCAACAAGACTAGTCCCAGAGCTAAGAGGTATGTCCTATGAGGAGAGGTTAAGGGAAATCAACCTGACGACATTGGAGGACAGGAGAGATAGGGGGGACATGATAACGACATACAAAATACTGAGAGGAATTGACAAGGTGGACAAAGACAGGATGTTCCAGAGATTGGACACAGTAACAAGGGGACACAGTTGGAAGCTGAAGACACAGATGAATCACAGGGATGTTAGGAAGTATTTCTTCAGCCACAGAGTAGTCAGTAAGTGGAATAGTTTGGGAAGCGATGTAGTGGAGGCAGGATCCATACATAGCTTTAAGCAGAGGTATGATAAAGCTCACGGCTCAGGGAGAGTGACCTAGTAGCGATCAGTGAAGAGGCGGGGCCAGGAGCTCGGACTCGACCCCCGCAACCTCAACTAGGTGAGTACAACTAGGTGAGTACACACACTCTCACTATTCACCTTTCTAAAATTTCTACCATTGCAGTTAATACACATATAACCCACACATAGAAGAGAGGAGCTTATGACGATGTTTCGGTCCAACTTGGACCACTTACAAAGTCACACTAACGAAAAGGAGAGCGGGAAGGGTATATAGAGGCAGGAGGTAATAGTAGTAGTAGTAGTAGTGGTGGTAGTAGTGGAGGTGGAAGGAAGTAGTAGTGGGGAGGTAGCAAGAGGAGGAGGAGCCAGTTAAATACTAGGAAAGAGCAGCACTGCAAGGGAGCTAAGTGCCCACAGAGGGTAAGAGCAAGAACACCGAGGGGGGGGGGGAATAAATAAATAAATAAAGAAGGAACAAATACACAGGGCAGAAGAAAGACAACCCAAAGGAGAAAAAGAAAGAGGAAAGGGGAAGAGGGAGAAGAAAAAGGAGGAATCAAGTTAGGTCACGGGTGTTCTGAAGTTTGGAGAATTTAACAATGTAGTGGGAAAAGAAGGCATCTACAGAGACGAAGCCAGGACTAAGAATAATCTTAGATTAATCTTAGTCCTGGCTTCGTCTCTGTAGATACCTTCCTTTCCCAGTACATTGTTAAATGCTCCAAACTTCAGAACACCCATGACCTAACCTGACTTCCCTTTCCTCTTTCCTTTTTCTCCTTTGGGTTGTCTTTCTTCTGCCCTGTGTATTTGTTCCTTCTTTATTTATTTATTTCCTTCCCCCCCCCCTCGGTATTCTTGCTCTTACCCCTCTGTGGGCACCTAGCTCACTTGCAGTGCTCCTCTTTCTTAGTATTTGACTGGCTCCTCCTCTTCTTACTACCTCCCCACTACTACTTCCTTCCACCTCCACTACTACTACTACCTCCTGCCTATATATTCCCTTCCCACTCTCCTTTTCGTTAGTGTGACTTTGTAAATGGTCCAAGTCGAACCGAAACATCATCGTAAGCTCCTCTCTTCTATGTGCGGGTTATTTGTGTATCGTTCCAGTCACGGTATTGTGCCTTTTTTGTTATTGCAATTAATTTTGTCAATAACTCCATATGGCTATACAGCATTATTTCATGACTGAATCTTTTGCTTCATTAAAAGTTTGTTGTAACAGTTACCATTTCTAAATTCCTATTTTAAGTAGGATACACAATTTTCCCTCGTCAAGCACCACACTCATTGCTCATTGTTTCAAAGCGAAGATTGGTATGATTTCTTTTATTTATTATAATCAGAGCCTTATTATTTGATGACTCGTATATTTCAAATGACAATTTCTTGACCATTCTGCCAGCTTTTTCATATTTTTGCTTTAGGTACTATTGCTAAAAGTAACATTTAATTATTCAGATCATGTTGTCTTTTCACTTTTTAACTTACTGCTATATGTTACACTAAAAATTTTCATTGACAATGAAAAAACCTTTATTGGTATTCATGAGAATACTTTATGAAATAACATGTATAATCAAGCATGCTCATTCCATACAATAAAAGAACATTAAGATCTCTTATTCTAATTAGGTTACCAGTGTTTTTCACTTTTGTCTATCTTTAGTGTTTCCAAGGAGAGCTCGGTTCAAACAGCCACCCATCCACTTGAGGTTTTGCCATATGTAGCTCAATTGTAAGCCATTAATTACATTACATTAATTATTTACCTAACACCGAACTGTGAAGCACATTAATATAGTACATCTTCCCAGGATAATAAATTAATACCTGCAGATTGTGCTAGCAGCTTCAATAAGCAAAATTTGTACACCTTTAAAAGTTATGTAAAGAATGTAAAGAACTTTAGGCCCCCAACAGTAATACAGGTGCTACTGGCAGTGCCAGTCCATCTCATGTCTTTGTGACAAGCAAGTGAAATTCATTAATAATTGAAAAGGTAGAATTACTGAATAAATTGGAGAACAGAGTAAGTTTTACTCCCCTCATGATGGACTTTGGTGCTGGTAGAACATTAATATACTATACTGCATTTACAAAAAAATTGCACTAAACTCCTAAGGGTTATCCAGTGCTACAAGGTGAAGGAATGTTGACATCAGGAGAATAAAAAAAAAAAAAGGGTGAAGGGCTGGTTCACATGCTATAGACAAAAGTCAGTTTTATTTAAGAAATTACAGATTGTGTCTACATTAAAGGTTGAACTTTCCAAAAAGACAGCAACCAGAGTTAGGTCATAAAGATGATGGAGAAGATAGAAATGAATTAACATGTTCTTTGGTAAATACGATAGTCTACCAAAAGTTATTGCATTGCCAAAAGACCTGACACCTCTCACAAAGATGCAAGGTATCTCTCTAGGAAATGATGATAAATAGGAATGTCAGAAATAGGAATACCACTATATCAACTGATATAGTGAATTAAAATACCCTGTGCTGTACAATGTTTATAACTAAATAAATTATGAATATAATTCCCTAAGAGAGTACATAATACAAATAAATAATTACAGGTGTAATACATTTTTTATAAGGGGTTAATACATGAATCTCTGTATTGAGTACTATCCTTGGAGAAGCCTCAACTTAATAAATTATAAAGAGTACATAAAACAGTCCTGTAATGCCCTTCTCAGCACTGCATAACAGCCACAAACCAACAAAGAGTTACATAAAATCTGCTCCATGTCATAATCTAATAAACAAATAAATATCTTTCAAGTTAATTCATGTATGTATATACAGGTAGGCCCTGCTTTACAGCACTTCACTTTACAACACTTTGCTTTACAGCAGTTTTCAATTATACCCATTCTTCATTTATTCAGATTTCCTACAATAAATATATTCACCACTCATTATAAGCTAAGGATGAAAATGTTTTAAGGTAAGTACTTTATATGCATTTTTTAGGCCTAGCTAACTTAATATATGAAGAGTAAACATGATATCAGGCTTTTATAAGCATTTGAAAATGAATAAAATGGCTATGGGTCACTTTACAGCGATTTACGCTTTATGGCAGTAGTCCGGAACCTAACCTGCTGTATAAGAGGGGCCCTCCTGTAGTTGGGAAGTACAATGCCTGTACTTTAAAGGAGGGGTTTGGGATATTGGCTGTTTGGAGTGACATCTAACTTGTCATATCTGAATGCCTCTGCAAAGACAGTGATTATGTGTGAATGATAGTGAAAGTGTTTCTTTTCTAGGCCACCTTGCCTCATTGGGAGACTGCCAACGTGTTGAGAAAAAAATAATATATAATGAATATATTAATATATAAAATCTGTGTGCCTCTGGCAAGATAGTGATAGTTGTGAATGATGGTGAAAGTGTTTATAAGGTCACACTGCCTCAGTGGAAGATGGCCAGCATGTTTAAAAAAAATTCAGGATATGAACACAAATTATGGTTGATTAGAAAGAACCTACAACTGGATTTGATTCTTGCTCTAGAAATGTTTAAGGAAGAGAAAGAATGGGAATGTAGCAGTTAAGGAAACTTTGTTTCAGGGACAGAAGAAAACATAATGATTTAGAAAGGTTATTTCAGGAGTAGAAAGAAAAGAAAGGTAATACGGTATTCAGAAATTTTATTTCAGGAGTAAAAGGAAAGGAAAGGGAAGGTTCAGAAACTGCTTCAAGAGTGAAAGGAAACGTAATGTTTTATAAACTGTTTCAGGAGTAGTAAGAAAAGTAAAGTGCTTATCAGAAATTTTGGTTCAGGATTAGCAATAAAGAGAAAGATATTCATTAATCTTTACAATAATAACTCTTTAAAGGCATTCTAGGATAGTGGATAATACACTGGGATCCTGGTATGCAACAAGCCCACCTTCATTACACCATTGCAAATTATGCTGTGTTACATTATCATTTGATTTATGATACCTGATTTGTAGTTCTTTCAGATTTTCAACATCAATACCCTGAAAGGCAAAAGACTTGTATAAGATATCTTAAAATATGAATTATTATTCAAAATCAATTTGAATGCTTAGTACAAATATTTCATGTTGAAGCAAGGTGTTCCATGACTGACTGGTCTCTGATAATTGAACTGGGAAATATACATGTCTCTAATTTACTAGTACTGTACCTACCTACCCTGTAGATGAATGGTTCATAGAACCGACATGTTGATAACTTAGACACATGTGCAACTCTTGGGTATCTTTATTGAGGAAACGTTTTGCCACACAGTGGCTTCATCAGTCCATACAAAGGAGAATCTTGAAGAACAGGAGTAGAATGAGGTAATCAGTCCCTCAACCTTGAGTCGATGTGGTCAGTCCATCAATCTTGAATAGAATACGGCATATGTGCGGAGAAGGAGCTTATAAACCGTTGGTAGGAGAGGTGCAGCAGTCATAGGCGGTGTCACATTTGTTCAATTGGAAGTAGGTCGTGCCCCAAGAATTAGGCAAGCGAAGAATTCCCAAGTATTAAGATCCCCAAAAAGTTGCAGTGTCTGACAGGTTTGTAGATGAATGGTTCATAGAACCGACATGTTGATAACTTAGACACATGTGCAACTCTTGGGTATCTTTATTGAGGAAACGTTTCGCCACACAGTGGCTTCATCAGTCCATACAAAGGAGAATCTTGAAGAACAGGAGTAGAATGAGGTAATCAGTCCCTCAACCTTGAGTCGATGTGGTCAGTCCATCAATCTTGAATAGAATACGGCATACGTGCGGAGAAGGAGCTTATGAACCGTTGGGAGGGGAGGTGACACCGCCTATGACTGCTGCACCTCTCCTACCAACGGTTTATAAGCTCCTTCTCCGCACGTATGCCGTATTCTATTCAAGATTGATGGACTGACCACATCGACTCAAGGTTGAGGGACTGATTACCTCATTCTACTCCTGTTCTTCAAGATTCTCCTTTGTATGGACTGATGAAGCCACTGTGTGGCGAAATGTTTCCTCAATAAAGATACCCAAGAGTTGCACATGTGTCTAAGTTATCAACCTACCTACCCTACATAAATTTCCATTTCTCTTATGTTTCCTTAAACTTTCATATATTATTTGTTTTAAATAACAAGTGATTCATTAAAAAGAAAAATCTATCAAAGTGTAATGTATTCATTTCTGGTACTGTGCTATTGTGACCCAGCACTGCCATTATATACCCATAACATTATATACCTTTGATGGGTTTCGAGAGTTTTCGTACTCTGCAGCTAGGCCCCGGGCCAGGCTTGTTCTGTGACTGTCTGGTCAATTAAGTTCTTGCTGGTGGCAGCCTGATGGCCCATATGATGCAGATTTGGGTGTCATAAAAGAAGCAGGTGTTTTTTTGTCAACGATCAATAATATTACGAGAAGTACATACAAGCATAAGGCAGGCTAAGGTACATCACATCTTCAATACTCATTTTTGAATGCAAAAGGGCAGTTTGAGATATTCTAACATTATTTTAATATTTACATGTTTCCCTGTGTTGTGAGGCAAGGAGGAGGAGAAGAAATGCATAGGCAAAGAAAAAGAAGAAAGGACTAATGGAAGAAGAGAGGAGAATAAGATATGAAGAAAGGAGACTGTGAAGAGACAAAGACTAGGAGAAACAAGGAGGGAGAGGAAGAGGAAGCTGAAAAAAGAGAAAGCTGAGAAGAGGCTGATGAGAGGATATGAAGAGAGTGAGAAGACAGGAGGATACTGAGTTGAAGATAGGAAGAGGAGGAAGAGCAGCACCAAATGACAAAAAAGGAAAAAGACAATAACAGAAAAAGACAAATCTTAAAAATTAGTAAAAACAGAATAAGAAAACAATAAAAGAAATGAAATATAAAAAATTAAGAAATACTGTACAATAAGAAACACAAGAACAATATTAACTGTTTGATATGCACAGAATACTTACCCGTTCTGCAAGCTGACAAATTTTTTGAAAGATAATTACACCACCACCCTGGGCACTCAGCAACCCATGAGGAGCTCCTGTATCCCAACGGAAAGTTGATCCCTGTAGAGAAGAATTGCAAGTGTATATAGCTGCAATAATTTTGTAAAGCCTTCTACCATCTATTAGAAACTCTGAAAATTAAATGTCATATTTTAACAATGGCATATTGTAAGAAAAAAGTTTCTTTTTTTTTCAAGTAAAAACAAAGAAATTTGGTATTGATGAGATAATGATCAATGAACTTGTTTTCACCTGAGAGAGGAAGTGAATACAGAAACAAAAACACCATATTCCAACAATACTGCTCTTTATTTAGCTGTTTATAATTTTGCATGGAAAAACTTTAAAACATGCTTGGAGAAAATTAAAGCGTATTTATTCAGCTATGTGTGTATAAATGTGCATTAAATCACTAAATCTGTCTGCAAGATTTTCAGCACAAGACTCATAACCTATGCTGCTTCACAAGGTAATGTCAACACTTGTTTTCTCAATCAACAGTACATAGCCAAATGTCTCCACTCATGAGGAATTCCTGTATACGTATTTCATCACTTTTATTTTGGAAAGCAAGTACATGTAATGTATTTCTATCATGAACACTTTATTTTGTTATTTGTAGATTAATTATTAGTCATATATTATTATTTCCTAGGTAGTAGGTTGGTAGACAGCAACCACCCAGGGAGGTGCTACCGTTCTGCCAAGTGAGTGTAAAATGAAACCTGTAATTGTTTTACACGATGGTAGGATTGCTAGTGTCTTTTTTCTGTCTCATAAACATGCAAGATTTCAGGTACGTCTTGCTACTTCTACTTACGCTTAGGTCACACTACACATACTTGTACAAGCATATACATATATACACACCCCTCTGGGTTTTCTTTTATTTCCTTGCTAGTTCTTGTTGTTGTTTATTTCCTCTTATCTCCATGGGGAAGTGGAACAGAATTCTTCCTCCGTAAACCATGCATGTCGTAAGAGGCGACTAAAATGCCGGGAGGAAGGGGCTAGTAACCCCTTCTTCTGTATATATTAATAAATTTAAAAAGAGAAACTTTCGTTTTTCTTTTTGGGCCACCCTGCCTTGGTGGGATACGGCTGGTTTGTTGAAAAAAAAAAATTATTAGCTTGAAAATTTTGCCTGTCTAAAACATTGAGCTACAATAATAAAGAAAAGGTTAATTTACAATCCAAAAGGCACACTTTGTTTTTTTTATCCCTCAAAATATATCTGGAAAAATGACACAGGACTATGAATATTTTATGGAGCAAAGATTATGTTTAACAAAAAATGGAAGTGCTTGAGGGTAAAATATATTTTTACACGAAGAGGTGAAATTTCTTTACCTTTGATGACACACAAGCAGATGCAAGTCCTAGGGCTACCACTAGCAGCTTGTAGCCAGCACCTGTGGCATATATTACATTGAATTTCTTGTTTAGCTTTTCCTGCAATTTTATATCTTCACTCGATGACATCAGAAGTATTGGACGTCCATCTTGTGGACTGGTCGTTCTAAGTGGCACATTATGAATGTTAATGCCACCGTGACTCACTCCCCAATAAACCTGTCCCTGCCACCTACCATAAAAAAGTTAGGATAAACAAATTATTCTAATGTGAATCAGTAAGTGTAAATAACAATAACACTGACACTTCATTATACTGTACTTTATATCATTTACCTTTGGCTCTCTTCATTAAACAAAGCAAACGGTTGATTGATAACACCTCCAACAGGTAAGCCAGATAAACGGTCATATAAGCCAATAAGGACGGTAACACATTGAAGACCATGAGTGTATATATTATTGCAGCAAGTACCAATTTCACCTTTCACATACTCCCCAGTAGAATCTGGAAAACAATTACATAACAGAAGATTAAATACGTATCACAATTATTAACAAATTAAAACACTGTATCAAAGCCAACCAATCTTTCTAATCAGGTGATACAGTAAGTACCAATAAAAAAGAAGGAACTGACAATGTTAAATCTTATTAAACATCTTAAGAAAAATTTCAAGTGTGATCTTGTAATGCAGTCAAATTGTTAAATATTAGTACCAATGATGATGTAGCTGGAAAGTGCTAAGACATAGCAAAAAATCATACCCAGGAGCAGATGAGGCCATGGTAAGAAAAGAGTGAGCAGAGGCATAAGCTAAATGTGCAAGAGCACAGAGTAAACAGAGAAAGCCAAGAACAAGAGAAAACTGGGAAGGAAGCAGAAGAGTCAGCCACTGTCTCGGCAGTCTTATCTACAATAAGAACGAACTCACAATATCTGTTGAAATGATCTACCATAACACACAGATGTTTGTTGTCCTGGAGGGAACATTAGAAATTAGTTAACAGACCTAGCGCAACTCTTTCCCATGGTTCACTAGAAGTTCGATACACAGAGGAACGTCTACTTACAAGTGCATCCACATACGAGTTTTTCCAGATAAGAGCAGTCACTTGGTCGATTTTTTGCTTCCAGACGCGAGTGAAATTTCCAGATGCGAGCGCGCCTCAAGGGAGGTTCCTTGACACTAGTGAGGGGCTCTTGCTCTTGATCTAGGGAATTGGATCTCAGTTGTTTGTTGCTGGTTTCTTTTTCTGTCTCATAAACACGCTAGATAACAGGGATATCTTGCTACTCCTACTTACACTTTGGTCACACTTCACAGACACGCACATGCATATATATATATATATACATACATCTAGGTTTTTCTCCTTTTTCTTAATAGCTCTTGTCCCTTTTTATTTCTTCTATTGTCCATGGGGAAGTGGAAAAGAATCTTTCCTCCGTAAGCCATGCGTGTCGTATGAGGCGACTAAAATGCCGGGAGCAATGGGCTAGTAACCCCTTCTCCTGTATACATTTACTAAAAAAGAGAAGAAGAAAAACTTTATAAAACTGGGTTGCTTAAATGTGCGTGGCTGTAGTGCGGATGACAAGAAACAGATGATTGCTGATGTTATGAATGAAAAGAAGTCGGATGTCCTGGCTCTAAGCGAAACAAAGATGAAGGGGGTAGGAGAGTTTCAGTGGGGGGAAATAAATGGGATTAAATCTGGAGTATCTGAGAGAGTTAGAGCAAAGGAAGGGGTAGCAGTAATGTTAAATGATCAGTTATGGAAGGAGAAAAGAGAATATGAATGTGTAAATTCAAGAATTATGTGGATTAAAGTAAAGGTTGGATGCGAGAAGTGGGTCATAATAAGCGTGTATGCACCTGGAGAAGAGAGGAATGCAGAGGAGAGAGAGAGATTTTGGGAGATGTTAAGTGAATGTATAGGAGCCTTTGAACCAAGTGAGAGAGTAATTGTGGTAGGGGACCTGAATGCTAAAGTAGGAGAAACTTTTAGAGAGGGTGTGGTAGGTAAGTTTGGGGTGCCAGGTGTAAATGATAATGGGAGCCCTTTGATTGAACTTTGTATAGAAAGGGGTTTAGTTATAGGTAATACATATTTTAAGAAAAAGAGGATAAATAAGTATACAAGATATGATGTAGGGCGAAATGACAGTAGTTTGTTGGATTATGTATTGGTAGATAAAAGACTGCTGAGTAGACTTCAGGATGTACATGTTTATAGAGGGGCCACAGATATATCAGATCACTTTCTAGTTGTAGCTACACTGAGAGTAAAAGGTAGATGGGATACAAGGAGAATAGAAGCATCAGGGAAGAGAGAGGTGAAGGTTTATAAACTAAAAGAGGAGGCAGTTAGGGTAAGATATAAACAGCTATTGGAGGATAGATGGACAAATGAGAGCATAGGCAATGGGGTCGAAGAGGTGTGGGGTAGGATTAAAAATGTAGTGTTAGAGTGTTCAGCAGAAGTTTGTGGTTACAGGAGGGAAGAGGAGCGATTGGTGGAATGATGATGTAAAGAGAGTAGTAAGGGAGAAAAAGTTAGCATATGAGAAGTTTTTACAAAGTAGAAGTGATGCAAGGAGGGAAGAGTATATGGAGAAAAAGAGAGAGGTTAAGAGAGTGGTGAAGCAATGTAAAAAGAGAGCAAATGAGAGAGTGGGTGAGATGTTATCAACAAATTTTGTTGAAAATAAGAAAAAGTTTTGGAGTGAGATTAATAAGTTAAGAAAGCCTAGAGAACAAATGGATTTGTCAGTTAAAAATAGGAGAGGAGAGTTATTAAATGGAGAGTTAGAGGTATTGGGAAGATGGAGGGAATATTTTGAGGAATTGTTAAATGTTGATGAAGATAGGGAAGCTGTGATTTCGTGTATAGGGCAAGGAGGAATAACATCTTGTAGGAGTGAGGAAGAGCCAGTTGTGAGTGTGGGGGGAGTTCGTGAGGCAGTAGGTAAAATGAAAGGGGGTAAGGCAGCCGGGATTGATGGGATAAAGATAGAAATGTTAAAAGCAGGTGGGGATATAGTTTTGGAGTGGTTGGTGCAATTATTTAATAAATGTATGGAAGAGGTAAGGTACCTAGGGATTGGCAGAGAGCATGCATAGTTCCTTTGTATAAAGGCAAAGGGGATAAAAGAGAGTGCAAAAATTATAGGGGGATAAGTCTGTTGAGTGTACCTGGTAAGTGTATGGTAGAGTTATAATTGAAAGAATTAAGAGTAAGACGGAGAATAGGATAGCAGATGAACAAGGAGGCTTTAGGAAAGGTAGGGGGTGTGTGGACCAGGTGTTTACAGTGAAACATATAAGTGAACAGTATTTAGATAAGGCTAAAGAGGTCTTTGTGACATTTATGGATTTGGGAAAAGGCGTATGACAGAGTGGATAGGGGGCAATGTGGCAGATGTTGCAAGTGTATGGTGTAGGAGGTAGGTTACTGAAAGCAGTGAAGAGTTTTTACGAGGATAGTGAGGCTCAAGTTAGAGTATGTAGGAAAGAGGGAAATTTTTTCCCAGTAAAAGTAGGCCTTAGACAAGGATGTGTGATGTCACCGTGGTTGTTTAATATATTTATAGATGGGGTTGTAAGAGAAGTAAATGCGAGGGCCCTTGGCAAGAGGCGTGGAGTTAAAAGATAAAGAATCACACACAAAGTGGGAGTTGTCACAGCTGCTCTTTGCTGATGACACTGTGCTTTGGGAGATTCTGAAGAGAAGTTGCAGAGATTGGTGGATGAATTTTGGTAGGGTGTGCAAAAGAAGAAAATTAAAGGTGAATACAGGAAAGAGTAAGGTTATGAGGATAACAAAAAGATTAGGTGATGAAAGATTGAATATCAGATTGGAGGGAGAGAGTATGGAGGAGGTGAACGTATTCAGATATTTGGGAGTGGAGTGTCAGCGGATGGGTCTATGAAAGATGAGGTGAATCATAGAATTGATGAGGGAAAAAGAGTGAGTGGTGCACTTAGGAGTCTGTGGAGACAAAGAACTTTGTCCTTGGAGGCAAAGAGGGGAATGTATGAGAGTATAGTTTTACCAACGCTCTTATATGGGTGTGAAGCGTGGGTGATGAATGTTGCAGCGAGGAGAAGGCTGGAGGCAGTGGAGATGTCATGTCTGAGGGCAATGTGTGGTGTGAATATAATGCAGAGAATTCGTAGTTTGGAAGTTAGGAGGAGGTGCGGGATTACCAAAACTGTTGTCCAGAGGGCTGAGGAAGGGTTGTTGAGGTGGTTCGGACATGTAGAGAGAATGGAGCGAAACAGAATGACTTCAAGAGTGTATCAGTCTGTAGTGGAAGGAAGGCGGGGTAGGGGTCGGCCTAGGAAAGGTTGGAGGGAGGGGGTAAAGGAGGTTTTGTGTGCGAGGGGCTTGGACTTCCAGCAGGCATGCATGAGCGTGTTTGATAGGAGTGAATGGAGACAAATGGTTTTTAATACTTGACGTGCTGTTGGAGTGTGAGCAAAGTAACATTTATGAAGGGATTCAGGGAAACCGGCAGGACGGACTTGAGTCCTGGAGATGGGAAGTACAGTGCCTGCACTCTGAAGGAGGGGTGTTAATGTTGCAGTTTAAAAACTGTAGTGTAAAGCACCCTTCTGGCAAGACAGTGATGGAGTGAATGATGGTGAAAGTTTTTCTTTTTCGGGCCACCCTGCCTTGGTGGGAATCGGCCAGTGTTTACCTGGAGAGAGTTTCGGGGGTCAACGCCCCCGCGGCCCGGTCTGTGACCAGGCCTCCTGGTGGATCAGCGCCTGATCAACCAGGCTGTTGCTGCTGGCTGCACGCAAACCAACGTACGAGCCACAGCCCGGCTGATCAGGAACTGACTTTAGGTGCTTGTCCAGTGCCAGCTTGAAGACTGCCAGGGGTCTGTTGGTAATCCCCCTTATGTGTGCTGGGAGGCAGTTGAACAGTCTCGGGCCCTGACACTTATTGTATGGTCTCTTAACGTGCTAGTGACACCCCTGCTTTTCACTGGGGGGATGGTGCATCGTCTGCCAAGTCTTTTGCTTTCGTAGTGAGTGATTTTCGTGTGCAAGTTCGGTACTAGTCCCTCTAGGATTTTCCAGGTGTATATAATCATGTATCTCTCCCTCCTGCGTTCCAGGGAATACAGGTTTAGAAACCTCAAGCGCTCCCAGTAATTGAGGTGTTTTATCTCCGTTATGCGCGCCGTGAAAGTTCTCTGTACATTTTCTAGGTCGGCAATTTCACCTGCCTTGAAAGGTGCTGTTAGAGAGTCAGCAATATTCCAGCCTAGATAGAACAAGTGACCTGAAGAGTGTCATCATGGGCTTGGCCTCCCTAGTTTTGAAGGTTCTCATTATCCATCCTGTCATTTTTCTAGCAGATGCGATTGATACAATGTTATGGTCCTTGAAGGTGAGATCCTCCGACATAATCACTCCCAGGTCTTTGACGTTGGTGTTTCGCTCTATTTTGTGGCCAGAATTTGTTTTGTACTCTGATGAAGATTTAATT